GGCAACTGCTTTTCAACCAAAGACTTTGTTATCAATTCTGGCAACCATTAAACTAAAGTCAAAAGTCAATTAATTTGAGAAACGAAATAATTTTTTGAAAGATAAAATATATAAAAAAAACTAACAGATTTTATGAAATTGAAAAATCAAATATTTATTCTTTTTAAAACAATAAAATTTGAAAATTAAAGGAAGATCAAATTAAAAAAAGAATGAAATAGGTTTCTAAAAATCAAATGAAATTGAAAAAATTAAATTTAAAAATCAAAAAAGGAATTCAATTAAAAACGAAAGAAATACATAAACTTAGTTTCTAAAAATTTAATGAAATGCAAAAAAAAAATACTTATAATAAGAAATATGCATTTAAATAATATAACAAATTGAAAAAGATACAAAATATTTAATACATTTTCTCCAAACCAAATTTGACAAGGGATGACGAAAAATTGTTCCACAATACATTATACTCCTACCCTGTCGGAAACACCAACAACGAAAATGATTAAAAAAAAATTAACTTAAAAAACGAAGTAAATAAAAGTAATAATAAGTTTCTAAAAAAGAAATGAATTAAAACCCCAATTAGAAAAGCGAAAAATAAAATAAGTTTCTAAAATATTAAATTAATTTAAAAAGTTTTTTTTTGTATAACAACAAAATCAAAAAATTATAATAAAAAAAGTTATAGAGAGTGCAGAAAAAAGAATCTAAAAATTAAATGAAAAACAAAAAAAAATTCTTGAAAGAAAATTGAATGGAAAAATAGAGACAAAATCTCTCCAATATCACGCCATTGCTTCGCTCCCTTGTCTTGTTGGCGCAGCGTCAGCAAAATGATATCCATACATCTCCATTTGGAACATACTCAAGTGTTTTTTGTCAAAAGAGCTTTAAACTATGAAAGTTGACAAGGGAGCTTATTTTGTAAGGCTTTCGTGCCAGAATAAACAAAATCTTTCAAACAATATCACCTACCGTCTTTCAATTGCCTAACAAAAGACTAGCAACTAACGTAGCCAAAATTGCTTTGTCGATTTTCGTTGCCAAAATTCTCTTAATGAAAAGCCATGCGGCCTAAAAGTACCATACAGCATAAAAAGTAACAGATGCAATGTGTAATCAGCCAAAGACATGTAACTAGCTTTTGCATGTTGTTAGGCGCGCCTGGCATTTTTTTTTGTTTAGAGATTTTCGGCAATCAAAAACAGCGATAGCGATATTCAAAATGCCACTGCAAGCTCTATCATTTTCCGCTTTCAATCTGAAATTTCAAGATTATTTAAACTTTAAATTCACTGCTTAAAATTAGGCAATGATTAATTGCAGCAAAGTTTTCTGCCGCAAGCGAATGACAAAGCTTTTTTCGCATTACATGATACAGCATTATGGAATACTCATAAAATTTATTTAACCCTTTCACTCCAGCCTTTGTACAAGCTTTACAAAATATACATGCATACATATTCATCACACTTCGTCTACTTCTGCCAGCTTCACGCTAACGTCATGACAGCTGCTTATTTGTCAAATTTCTTCAGCTACATATTTATTGCTACTCCCTGGCTTTGATTACAAGTACTATGTATAGTATAAGTAGATAAGTATTTGAATAGAGTTTTCGATAGTTTTTTTTTAATGGTTTTTCTTGTAGTTATTGCATACGATTTCACATTTTGGCTCCACTGATTGTGTATCCGTTTTGTATAACTTATTCATTCTTAGGCTGCGTTTTTTAAAGAAAGTCAAATTTTTTTGTATTTTAATTTTGTAATTCTATGTTTAAGAATTTTCTTAGTTTAATTGAAGTTATGTTTGTAATCAAAAAATTTGCTGGTATGTGTACTTTTACTACAGAGTATTGCGATAAAGGGTGCTTAATAAAAATTTGCTATTTGAAATTGCCTAAATTTTTGTCCATTACGATTTTTAATTGATTTGTGAGTGAATTTTAATATTTTGCGCTAAATTATGCTTTTAACATTCTATATTACATTTTTTCGTTTACTGCTACTTTCACATTTCACAACTCTTTATTTACAAATCTCGAAGTTAGTAAACTTTTCTAAACGAACACACTGTGCAACACAGAATAAAGTGTCTGTGATAATATAGTATGAAATGCAGTAAGTGACGCTTCAATTATTGCATGCCAATTTCTTTCCGATTTCTCATTGAAGTGAGTACGCTTTTAGCTTCAATATCTTAGTAGGTTAGGTTTTTGCAGCTGCTCTCGTTCGGCATCTGGAAGCGGGATTACTTAGTTGGTCCAATCTCGAGATATTTTGCTTCCTAAAGAGAAATCAATTCTTTGTTTTTATGCGTAAATCAGACACTCAAGAGAGTAGTGATGGAGAATACAGAGCTAGAACGAGTGAAATGCTCCAATAGGTAATCTTCTACTCTCTTCCTCTATATTGAAAAAAGGGAAAAATGCCTTTTCAAGAAAGAGAAGGGAGAGGCATAAAGACGCGAATGAGAAGAGCCTGAAATGCTGGCAGGCAGGACTGCCGCTCGAAAATTCGGTTAGAAGATAAGGCATCAATCACATCGTTTTACGACCGGGGCTAGATCCTGTAAAGATGAAGATGGAAATCTGGTAACAGATGTCCAGAGCTGAGATATGGAGGGAACACGCTTTTGAATGACGACACAGGTGGCGCGCTTGATGAGTGAGAACCCGAAGCAATGTATTTGGATGCAGCTTACGTCCCCCTACTCGACCAAGATGCGGTGAGAATAGCAGTAAGGCGGCTTAAAAACAAGAAGGCCCCGGGCCCGCCGGTTTACCGGTTGAGCTGTTCACAGCCAGTGGCGAAGAGTCGGTGTGGGGCATGTACCAACTTTAAAGCAGAATTTGGTCTGATGAAGACATGCCCGAAGACTGGAATCTAAATGTACTTTGGCCAATCCACAAGAAGGGAGATCCCGCCGTTTTCGCCAACTATCGCGGAATAAGCCGTTTTAATATAAGTCCTGTCGGCGATATTGTGTGAAAGACTTATCAGCATGGCTTCAGATTTTTACCGCACGTCAAATCTTGGAGGAGACACTTGATAAACAAATCGACACACATCATCTTTTTGTCGACTTCGAAACTGCTTTTGATAGCACGAAGAAAAGTTGCCTGCGCAATGCCATGTCTAAATTTGGGGTCTCCGCAAAACTAATACGGCTATGTACACAACCTTCAGCTCCGTCCAAATTGGGAAGGACCTCGCCCCGCCGTTTGAGGCCAAATGAGGTTTTAGACAGGGCGATTCACTCTTGTGCGACTTTTTCATTCTGATGCTGGAAAGCGCTATAAGAGCTGCCAATATACATATATATCGACATCGTCGGTCTGAAACAAAGGGATGCGCAGCATTTTCCAGTGTAGAAAAGCAAGCTAAAGAGGTCGGTCTTGCGGTGAATGAAGACACTACAATGTAGCTGCTGTCAATATATAAAAAGAGTCCACGCGTTTTGGGACACACGTCACTGCTGGCTGCTGTAACTTTGAAGTAGTGAAGAAGGGCTTTGTCTACCTAGGATTCAGCATAACGTCAAATTGGAGAACAAGCAAGGCAAAACTCTTGCCAAAAGGTGCTACTTTGAGCTCGGTAGGCAATTGAAAAGCAAAGCCCTCTCTCGACGAACAAAAATTACGCTCTACAAGGCATGCCAGTTCTTCTAAGTACATATATAGCGCCGCAAGGTGGACGATGTTAAACAAAGAGGAGAAGAATTCAGATGCTTTCGAGAGAACCATTCTACGAAAGGTCTACGGCTCCGTTCGCGTGGACGATGGGCATAGGAGAAGATGTAATGACGAACTCTATGAGCTTTGTAACGACATGGACATCGTTAAACGCATCAAAATACAGCGATTGCGCTGGCTTGGTCATGTTGTACGCACGGATGACGAGGCTCCGGTTCCTTCGACTCCTCACCCATGGGTGGACAATGAAAGCAAAGGCGCGTTCGAACAAAATTGAAGGACCAAGGGCAGAAGGACCTGTCTGCACTCGGGATGAGCAACTGGCGCAAATTGGCACAGGAGAGATGCAATTGGAGAAGCTTTTTGGTCTCGGCCAAAACCGACAAACGGTTGTGGTGCCAAATATGAAGAACAAGAAGAAGAAGAATTATCTATATGGCAAATTCCCTGATAACCGAATCATGAGTTACGAAAAATGTTGAGACGCTCACAGATTTCACTTTAACGTTTGAAATCGGCTCTCTTTCGAGTGCTTTGTTTACTTACTTTGGTTGTTGGTGGCAGTCATGCTGACAAGTAATTACGCAACATATTAAGCTAAGCATGTATGTGTGTATACATACTTTTGCAATTTATAATTTTCAAACTATTCTCCGCAGTAAATCAGGACCTCCGGTCGTTAAAGTATTTGCTATTAATTATTTAACTACTCGTATTTAAATGCTAATAAAGTGATATCCTTAAACTGTTAAAATGTCAATGCGATAGGTAATGTATGTGTGGGTAAAACTTTTTGAATTTTCGCGTGCTTATAAATTTGTGGGAATTATATGTAAATAAGTGAATGCATACAATTTAATATTGCACATACTTATGTACATATATACATACATATATAGCAAATATATTAAAGTTATCATTTTTTTTTGTGGCATATGTATCAACGTGTTATAATTATAAATTTCTGATACATTTAAGACAGCTTATAACTGTAATAAATTTTCGCACTTAACTGATAATTTTTTTTTTAAATTACAAACTGTACGAATTTACGCTAATCGAGCAAACTTAACGCCATTTCAGCAACATTTACATATTTCAACTCCCTAAGGCTACTTATTCATTTATACTTATTGTATATGTACTAGAAATTGCTATATAATCGTATTTACCTAGGCGAGTGGATACGTACCACATACAAATACAGTGTACACAAAAAGTATAAGTACACTTGTATGTCGCTTCTAAGTGTCATTAAAATTCGCTATTGTTTTTAGCTTGATGCCTGCTTTAATTTTTCAATCGAACTATATTTCAGTTATTTTAGAGCAATTGCTTTTGCCGAATCGGCGCATTTACTTCCAGTGATTCCTATTTAACTTTATAGATCATTTTAGTATTTTTCAAGATCTGCGCTACCGACATGACAGCATTTATGATGAGCACCTCTCTTTCTAACATCCGCGTATCCTTTTGTTCCTTATTAATGGCCAACTCGAAATAAATTCAAGAATAGTGAAGATCCTTCCAAAGTCTTAAATAGCTCATCATCAATCTCTAGTGGCCACTAGAAGGAAGATGTACCACAGCCGTAGCCACGCGTCAGGGGTGCAAATTATTTTAGCCGAAAATTCACACTGCGCCCCTGGGTGCGCGAAAACTACGAACATCAACGTTTTGTTTCACCCGCGACGAAGGTCGGGTGGTCACAAAACTATTCTCCCCAATGAAATAAGCAGCTGGATTCTAAAGTTTTTGGGAAAAGGCAAACCAAATAAAGTTACCATCTCGTTTCTGAGTACCACTAGCGAAGCCGGGGAAACCAGATAAATTAAGAGCTTTCGAAATTGTCAGTTGCGCTACATAAACTCGACGAAAAATCTTACTTGCACCCTAGTGAATAAACTGAGTAGTCATCACTGATCGATGACATTTCGAGATGAACTTATTAGCCGTTACTTTTAAATTCCTTAGCGCGATACTCCCTCCTCCACTAGAAGGCATTTCTCTAACCTCATTCGCCGACGGCTACTTGTTTTTGGCGACGGGAAATAGTTATCTCTCATAACTGTACCGCTTCATCACTGATCTAAATACTTTTCAAGACGAAAGAGGTCAAGTTTAATAGATCAGTGAAAGACCAATAACCTCTCTGTCGTTATCGTTAATTTAACTCGATTTATTCGACAGCACGGTACAATAAAAACTATTGACGGATGCCTCCAGCTATTGCGGGAACACCATTTACACGGTTGTTACCCTAAAGATCCCGCCAACAGGCACTAGTTCGTAGTGAAGTCAATTATAAGGCACCTGGTTACATTACACAAAACGCATCTTTACGACCAGGTTTAGCAGTGCCTATGCTTTCAGCTGATTAAGTTCGATTACAGACAGTCTATAAAGGCTGTTCATGGGTAGGCATTTAACCCCTTCGTCAACTGTCGTCTCATAAATGCCGTAATCGGAATTCAAACATAAGCTATCGCAGACCGACAAGACAAGCTCGAGTAGCACCGGCGTATCCAAATTACTTTAGCAAAGCTCCTTCGTGGATATTGTTGAACCTATCCGCAATAAACGATGCAATACCTAACGTACATCTAAACTATGGATAATCAGCTTAATAGCTTATCAATAAACTCGCCGATTTAGGCAAGGTTTAGCACACGGCTTCAACAAAGACGGCATTGTTAGGAGAACTCAATAAAAGGACCAAAAGTGAAGAAGGACTTGTGAGTACGTAGTATGAATATGTGGTGGAACTTGGCTAAGGAAAAGTTTTATTGCTTGTAGATTGTCTGGGCTCTAGTCTGCAAATATTTTGTTGAAAGATACTGTAATCAAAACCAGCTAAATCAGTTAAATCATTTTATTTGGTTCGATTTCACTATGGAGGCTAATAGCCTGTTTCCAACAAAAGCTTAACTGTGGTTAAGAGTTCTGGAAGATATCAAGAATTTTAACATGGGATGCTCGGCAAGTTATGTTTCTTACTTTTTGCTTTTACACTTTCGTTTGCTTCTACTAATATTTATGAGCAGTTCTCTTCGAGTTGTAATGTACTGACCTACCTGAAGACGCATACTTTTTGTGCACACTGTTTTCAATTCATTTCATCCAATCGGCTCAGCAGTTAAATACTATGTTTTGAACATTCCAACATTCACAAATCACAAAGAAACATTTTTTTCAAATCAACTTTTCAATCTTAGCTCATCCGCCTAATTAATTTTATGTATATCCACTTAGAAGTAAATATTTACGTTTTGATTTTTTCTTCAAGTTTACCGTAAAATCGTTTGCAAACTACATACATACATTTTTTTATTATTTCGTTTTCTTTCGCCGGCCATAACGATTACCTAAATAATTTTTTTGGTTTTTGTTTTTTACATAGATGCCGTTTGAATGCCCGCTTGCGGTGATGTCGATTGCTGTGGTGAATTTTGGCTGCTCACTCCTGCCACCGCTGGTGGTATGGCTACGACGGCGTTTTGTTGCGCGGCGTTTTGTTGCGCCGTTGCCTCGGTTGTCTTCAGGAAATAAGTTATCAAATCGATGGGCAATGGGAAAACTATTGTTGAGTTCTTTTCCGCCGATATTGTATTGAGTGTCTGGCGCCGGAAAGTATGGTCATTTAAATTTTAGTTTAGATTGTTTTTTTCTAACTCTAAATTTACCTGTAAGTAACGCAATTGTAGCGCTGCTGGTGAACCTCCAATGACTTCAGAGGCTTCGCGTAGTGCCTTTGATGCTTTTTGCTCTCCTTCAGCGGCAATAACTTTGGCGCGTGCTTCACGCGCTGCTTCAGCTTCGGCTGCCATAGCGCGTTGCAGTTGTACTGGTAAGCGTACATCCTTACTGTAATAGGGAGAGGGAGGAAAATATGGGTTGGTATCAGAGGATGAATAATAATGCAAAAAAATTTACTTATGCATAAAAAAAAGAAAAATTATATACGCGTAAGGCAGCGACCGTACTGTGGGTCTATTTTTTTTTTTATAAAAAAGAAAGTCAATAAAACAATAAGTTATAGTTTTTTAGCACATTGAATTGGAAAACGAGTATGTATTTTTGATTTTTAAGACAAAAATAAAAACACATTTTTTTAATATTTTCGAGCCCAATATAGCCGGGGATTGTATGTTTTTATTTTTCGATTTCAAGACAGTCACGATTCACATTAGTGTACCGTCGAATTTGAAGATTCCTAACAAATCCTGTATAAAGCACAGAAAATCCGAAACATGAGAAATACCCATAAGTGTTATAAGTGCGAAAAACCCTCATAAGAATCCCGAAAAAAAATATATATTCTCAGAAGCACCCAAGAAGTTTCGAGCAAATCCAAAAATTTTCGCATTTTTCCACCAATTCCTTTCCATGGTGTCGCCGGATGATGGCCACCTTTGGACAAGTCCACATGGACCTACACAAATGTATGTATATTAGTAAACTGAAAAGAGTGCAGCACGCTGCTTTGATATTGATTTAAAGAGACTTTAGCTCCATCTCCAGCAAGGTTCTAGAAACTCTTTGTATGTAAATCTTCTTCCTATCGACCTTTATGGTACCCGAAGAGACCAAAATTATGGTCACCCAAAAATTTTAATGTCAAGAATAAAATTTTTTATAAAAGCTGCGTACTAAAACTAAAATTTAATCACTTTAATTACACCAAACTTCTATTTAAATACCGTTATAAACTTAACAAAGTAGATATAATAAAAAGGGAACAGTCCAGCGCCTTCGTCTTGGTCTGCAGGCTGTATCGGATATATATCCACTAAATTTAAACGTAGAATACGTGGTATGGTTAAGAGCATATCCAAGTCAAAAACTAAAGCACATACTAAGAAAAACATATCGATAACGAAAGCGATAATAATATCGATATCAAAATCGATAATAATATCGATAACAAAATCGATAATAATATCGATAACAAAATCGATAACCAAATCGATGACCAATTCGATAAAAATTTCGATGGCTAAATCGATGAAAATATCGATAACAAAATAGATAAAAATACCGATAACAAAATCCATAGATAATCGATAACAAAAATCGATAAAGATATCGATAACAAAATCGTTAACAAAATCGATAAATAATCGATAAAATATCCATAACAAAATCGATAAGAAATTCGATAAAAATTTCGATAGCAAATTCGATAACAATATTGGTAACAAAATCTATTAAAAAATAAACAAAAATATCGATAATCGATTAGAAAATCGATAAAAATACCAGGAACAAAATCGATGAAAATATCAATAACAAAATCGATAACAAAATCGATAATCAATCGATAACAAAACTGATAAAAATGTCGATTATTATATCGATATGTCCCGAGAATCCCGAAAATCTCTAAAATCCCAAACTAGTTCCCAGATTGAGTCTCTGTGTCTCTATCTATATCCTTTCCTCTACAATTACCTTTATTTTAATCTTTCTTCTTCTGTCTTCATCTTTACTTTTATCAGTATCCTCATCCAACCCCAACCAACTAACCGCCGCTAAAGAAGTTTCACTTCCAAACACGTTTTTGAATTGCTTCAAATTGAACTAATAGCATATCAGCTATAAACTCTATATTTACCTACATATATACATATCATATATTTGGCGACAATAAAATACATTGGTCGTAAAGCATAACCTTTACTTTAAATCTAGCACCTCATAAAATCCACGAGCGTACCTGGATACCATATATTTATATATGTAGCTGTGCAATAAAACAAATCGATATGTCATTACACTCAATTACGTGATTAAAAACAAAAACGTGACAGAGGAGACGTAGTGCAGGACTTTCAACACATATGATATTGGCTTATGTACATTAGTGTGTATATACATATGTATCTAAATATGTATGCATTGTCATCCTTTTATTTGTTGCTCTTGTGTCATAGAATAATAAAATATGTAAACCGTAACTACTTGGGTATTCAGAACATATGGCAAGTTTAAAAATCGATGTCCCTACCCTACCATTGACGTTCTTGTAGATGTCTAAGTAGTTGAAAATTATATTAAAGCCAAGACACCAAAGTTATATGAAGGATAGTGCAGATTATAAGCTAAAGTGAATTACGCTAATTCCGCTCTGAATTCAACATCTTTCTTTATAATTTGAGTGAAAGGTACGTGGCGTATACGTAACATTGTATTAAGCTCTTATACTAAGTGAACTAGGGAGCAGTTGCGTTTATGGAATTTCAATTAATGTGAGATAAGAGCATATATGAATATAAACAAGAAGGAGAGACATATTTCCAAAAGAAAGAAAAGAGCGGCTGAAAACGCGAATGCGAAGTGCTTCAGATGTTGGCAGACGGTAATGCAGTCCCGCGAATACTACTTACCAAAAACTAAGGCGGAAATCAAATGGTTTCAAGAGCTGGATTGCGTTGCAAGATGGAAATATGGTAACTGGCATTCAGAGTATACACATGAGAGGTGGATGCAACAACTCTAAACACTCTTGTTAGACGATACAAGTGGAACATTTCCCCAAGAAGGACCCAGACCAATATATAGGAATGAAGCTCATGTGAAAAAAATGTGGTTAGGTGTAGTAAAATCCTTTCAGGACTCGACTATCGTTACTGAATACTAATCTTGAGCATAGTTTAATTTAGGCCTTAAATGGTCACACATTTTCGTAAAGATCGATTTGCATTTTCAAGGTATTTCAATTTTGACAAGCACCAACTTTTAGTTTAGTGGAGTTAACCAATTGAATTATACAAAAATTGGAGAATTCTGTTACGGTGGTTGAGATTATATTTTATTCTGATAAATTTATTATTGCATGAATGTATCCCCAGTTTTATTTAGTTAATCAAACTAAAATTCAATTTCAAAAATGCTTACAATGTTAAGTGCACATCAAACTTTAATGCGACGGGGTTAAAATTGCTGAGGCTATTGCACATACATTCATACTTATGAGTACTTACATATGTATATGCATTAATGCTTGATTCCATACTTGAGGGCATAATAAAGTATAACAAGCAAATCCTCTTGCTTTTACATATTCATACCTGCATATGTATATACGTATGCGGTAGACAACGATTAACATATGAAAAATTTTGGCACAATAGCACACATTGTTTCTGTTAATTATGTTGGCGCTTTACTGCAGCCAAATCGGCTTAACTCCGCCAGTTCATTAAACGAACAATGGCATCGCGTATTTATGATAAGTACTGCAGCCATTACGTAGCTTAAGAGCTTTAATATTTATTGTATTTATAGTAAAATTTGGCAGCTCCGTATGCATTTCAAATAATATATTGTAAACCTTATACATATGTATGTACCTAAATGCAAAGACTGTATACCTTCATATAATATGAAACCTATTTAGGAGGATATTTAGGTAATATCTTTGAATACAAGTTTTTAAACTGGCTGCTGCCATCGGTAAGTGTTTAGGAAAAATGTATTTCTATCTACAAAATATTTCCAATAAACTCTATATATTTGCTGCTCGGAGTCCATGAGAAGAGGTTTGTAAAAGATAAAAATACAATATTTTTCATATATATACTACATATATTTTTCTTAAACAAAAATATACATACTAATAAATAAAAGGAATATAAATTAAAAAAGAAAATTAAATTAAATTAAAGTAAAGCAAAAATAATTAAAAATATTTAAAAAACTTAATGAAATTGAAAAGATATACATTTTTTATATTTTTAAAACAAATCTAAAAACTGAATTAGAAAAAGAAAAATATTACATAAAAAATAGTTCTTAACAATCAGATTAAAATATTAAATTAGAAAAAGCTAAATAAATCAAAAATGAAGAAAAAGACAGCACTTAAAGATTACAAAATAGAAAAAAAAATAAAAATATTTTTAATTTAAAAATCAATCTAAAAAATAAAAAATAATAATTAAAAGCAGACAAAATAATAAAAGAAAATTTAAAAAATTAAATCAGATAAAAATATATATTTTTCTTTTTAAAACAATAAAATCTAAAAATTAAAAGATAATGAAATTAACAAAAACAAATATAATTACATTTAAAAAGAGAAAAAGGTTAACAATATAAAAATTAAATGAAATTAAAAAATATCTTTCGCTTAGAAGCACTAAATTCTAAAAATTTAAATACAACTGAATTAAAAAAAAGAACAACTAATTTATTCAAAAAGAGAACAAAATAAAATGTGTTCCAAAATAATTCTTGATTTTAAAAGATTGACGTCTAAAAATTAAGAAAAAAATTAAATTAAAAATAGAAAAAAGTACGTAATGTAAGAGTAAAAAGTTAAATGAAATTAACAAATACATATATTTTTTTTAATACAATTTAAAATTAAAGAAAATTAAATAAAACAAGAAAGAAATTTGAAAAAAATCCCCTGCTTGCTACAGTGCTCGAACGCGGATCTCTCGAATTGCACGCCAGTGTTCTGCTCACTGACATTGCGACTGTTGGAGTGGTCAACAGTTTTTAAACTCACAGATACGTACGAAATAGTCAAACTCTAAGAATACCTTGCTCCACCAAATAATAATTATGTTTTACCTTGGGCTATAGTTTCCGATTTTTGGTCAAAAATCCAGCTTGCTACATTTTATTTTAAAAAAGCCAGTCCAAACATAATTCTTGTCCTGGGAGACATTCAGTAAAATTAGACGAAAATATCTTTAGTCTAAACTAATAATCCCTACAAAAAAAAAAAACACAGCAGTTAGAAGGTTTAAATTATACAGAAAATGCTAAGCAGTAAATTTTACTAGGAGGTACAGAAATCGAAAAATTTCTGGGCTTCTGAGGGAAGAATAAAATACAAACCTACTCTTTTAGGAATGACAATAGAAGGTAATTTCAGCCCAACGTAAAAAAAAAATTCTGTTTCCGTGGGGAAAAATCATCATGAGGCTTGACTACCACATGTTGGCACTAATGTTTAGGTATGCTAATTTGACAGTACTCTCTTGTCTTTTAATATTTTCAACAAGGAATAACGTTTCCTTTATGATTTTTACTTTTTAAGAAAAAAAAGACAAGCTTTACTTGTTCATTATTAATTTCTTAGGCGTACATAAAAGCAAAGATAAGTATGAAATATACTTTTGGACCTGGGTTTTGCGAAAAGTTCCACAAAACAAAAAGAGCGTCCAAAACCACCCCGAAAGAGTTTCACATATTTTCGCAAATTAGCGAAAAGTAAGATATTAAGATTCTCTTAAAGCTCCAAGGAAAGTCCTGAACTTTTCCGAAAAAATCACGAAAAAAATGAAAAGTCTATAAGGCTCACGAAAAATCTTCGAGCCATTATTACGTACATACATTACTCTTAGATAGCTGTGCTATTAAATATACCCTTGTACATATGTATGTACATCCATACAAAATATTATCTACATAAATGCAAGTAAGGGCAGTTTTCACAATGTCAGTTGTAGAAAAACATCTACGGCAGTAAACATTAAATTTTGTGTGTACTCAAAGTAAATTTTATACTGCCAAATGCGTAAAAGGCCGAAATGTTTTCTTATTTAGCTACTTCTGTTTCTACTTACATTTCAACACGTTCGACTTTTATGCCCCATGCGTCAGTTGCTTCATCCAGTTGAACCTTCAGCGTAGAATTTCATTTAGAAAGATGCCAATATTTCGTCATATTTACAATCGGAGCCAGCGGCAAAGTATTGTGCGATAGCAAAATGTTGATTTGTTGAATGGCAATCGAAAGCCATAACCATGGTTGTGTTAGCATCAGCATGCAAAAAAAAACAAGCAAATACAATTGGAATTTTATTAGTTTCAGATTTCAAACCCTTACACAAATAACTCAATATGTAATAATACTCGTTTAAGGCGATAGTAAATTTTTTATGAGCCTGAAAATGTGCGTAGAGATTTAAAATTGCTGTTGCTGTTGAATTACAATCTTACCAATCGCCCAATCCAAAATTTGGTTAGTGTATATATATGCCGCGGTGTGTTGTTTTTGCAGAGAACCCTTGCTTCAAGAGGCTGCTCATCCAAGTTTTGAACAATGAGCATGGCAGCCGTTTTTAAATTCTACATTTGGTGGTACATATGTACATTTAAGTTGTGGTAAGCTTGTTTAGTCGAACTTTTTTTTAAAAAGCCTGTGTATTCCATGCAGCTTAAATATAGCCTGCTAATATCCATCTCTTATTGTATACAGCTTTTGTATACACAATTTTGTATCTCATTTAAAAATTCGGTAAATATCGAGTTAGTTATGGGGAAGTAAGCAAAGTGAGGTAAAATTGGAGATTTTTCTCCCAGATACTGATTACATGTAAATATTGCCTAAGTCTTCTATACAAACTAAGCTAATAGCTTAAGTTTATGGCCAAATAAAACATGTCCAATATAAGATAAATTAAATTTTTTTTATCTCAAAACATTCAATTGAATATGCGGCTGAAAATTCAGTTAAATTCCTCTTCCACATTGAAAATGGACAATTTTCACGAATTGCATAAAGAGTCAAAGAGGCAGTTTTTATATACTAACTAGGTGACAATTAAACTGAATCTGTGGTATTGTGTGTGTGCGTTTTTGAAAGCCAACTCAATTACTATAAATGACCTGAATACAATTTTAACATCTACAGTGTTTAATTTTGTATAACTACACATATATGTATACACATGTCCATATATTTTAATTTTCCACAGTGATGCCAGACATTCGCTGTTAAATTACCCACGAAAATCGGGGAAAATCCCTCAATTACCCACAACTCAAAAATGTATCCAACAAAATTCCCAAAGCATTCGAAACATATATTTCAGTAGTAAAGAGGTAACATTCATGTACTTAGTCACTTCAATATAAATATAAATATAATATTCTTTCGAAATCCAATGGTCGGTAGATTACCCACTAAAGGCTTAAAAGAATTTAAAAACATTTACTATACTCATAAATTAGCTACAGTGTTTATTAAAACCCAAAGATTTTGAAGAAACTTTTTTTGTGTTTTTCTTGTTGAATACTGGCAATTTTTTAAACTATCACTGTTACAGCGCTTGAATTGGTTAAGGGGAGAAAAATTTGAAAATTGTGCTTAATTTTACTCCACATCACATCTTCAGAACGATTAATTACGTAAGAGTGACCAATTATGCATCGATAACTGTTTTAAATGAAAATCTCTTTTTTGAAATGTCCCTTTTCTCCTTTTTAATACTTTATGCTGATAAATATCCTCCAAATAGGGAAACTACCCACAATGTGGCATCGCTGATTTTCCACTTAAATAGTATGTTTAAATAGCTGTCAAACCCGATGAAAAAGCTTGTGCGTAGGTTAGAAACAGTGTGGGATTAGTGTCGCCGCTTAATGTCAAAGTAATTAAATACTGGAGGATAAGTACCTATAGATTTTCCTGCAGAAAACCTACGTCGGTTACCAGAAACTGCTTTGAGTTCGCCGCAATCATATTCAAGCAGGATCATTGCTCCCGATAGCACTATTTCAGAAAATCTTAATTTTCAAATCAAACGGTGCCGAAAACATATGTAACATTTAAATTATATAAGATTTTTGAACTCCTTGCAATTTTTTTTTGTCTGAAAAAAATAAAGGCCAATGTATATTTCACTAAAGAATTAAGTACTCTACAAAAGATATCTCATATGTTTTTTTGATAAATTCTACATCACTCATACGCCATGTGCGCCGTATGCACCCGACCACCTACCAACTATGCGCTACAATGTGAACTAATAACTTGGATTTCCGCTTGGAAGATACTCGGAAGTCTAGCCATGGGCACTGAAATCCTTGTTTTTGGTCCAAAAATGCCTTCTATAATACCCTCGGGTGTTTTCGAGCCGTCGGTATACCAAATAAGAAGCACAGATCGGAGTATTTCTTTATATTTGCATCATTTCAGCTTGCCTTATTTCCTTCTTCTACTTTGAAGTTCTTATTGAAGCTAAAAATTCGGCAGATGTCGTTTTGTGGGAGTTGGGACAGGGGTAGCTGAAGACTGAGAGTGATTTCATATTTCGAGAATATACCACTTTCACTCTTCCAAAAACCCTCTATGGTAAAATTTATTGGGGATAACTTAGCTGCCTATCTGTATTCCATATGAGAATCCGAGAACTGCAGGCTGAAGATTTTCCTGCAGGACCTTTGCATACCATTAGTGCAAAATGAGTGAGCTATGGATGTCATCACATCGACGTGCTTCTTTCAGGAGAGTATTGCGTCCAGCGTGATGGCCTAATATATCTCTCTTCACACACAACGCAGATTTCTGCGCTATCCAGGGCCACTATAGTTTTTATTTCCAGTAAGGTCTTTGTTCTCGTAAATGAAATAATGGCTCTTGTTGTTGGGTTAATGTTAAGAACTACAATTAACCCATTTATTGAGCTTGAGGCCATTTTTAATGAAAATTTTGTGGTAAGAACTTGTTAAGAACTAAATATATCCACATAGCAAGTCTTCGTTATCTTTAGTGCCCTGTGGACTATTTCACAGAGGGTGTTCTCGAATTTTCTTAAAGGTCTAAAAGGTCTGAAATTTTAAGAAAAAGCAATTCCAATGTCTGATAGAGTTTGCAAAAGTTAATCTACTAACAGGCTCCAAAAAAGGGGTGACATTAATTGAAACGTTTGGGCTATAGCTGTGGAATAAGGTTTAGTGTTTTGGAAAAGAGTTGGTCTCTTATAGGAAATCAATTTTAAATAATAAAAAAATTTAAATGAGTTATTACAATTTGGGAGTCAATCGTAATGATTTTGAAAGGGATCTTTTTCTTAACTGTTAACAAAAAAAATCAAACTCAACTGGAATTAACGCAATAAGGTAGTTGAAGTACGTATCCCGATATGAGTGTCAGATGAAAAAGGTTTAAGAAACATTTACTTCAAAAATATTTTTGAGGTGTTTGATGGGCTTTACAGCTGTTTAAAAAGTGAGATTCAAATTATTTAATTTGTTGAATGCATAACTAAAAGTCGAGTATACATCGCGATGGATCTTAAAAGGTTTTATTTCTGAGGAATATTTAAGAGAGTTGCCACGAGTTAAATAAATAAATTACACTAGATTCATCAGTTAATTGAAGTATGTATATTAAAACTGGGCAAAATACATAGATTTAAGAATATTTTGGCTGAAAATATTTGTGAAGAGGGTTGCCAAAGTTTTGAAATTTTCGACTTAGTTAACTTATACACAAGTTTCAAGAAATATTGAATTATCAATGCCAAACGAAAGAGTTTTAAGCCTTAGTTGGAAAACATTTTTGATCTGGGTTCAGTGGGTTTTTTGAGACCGCTGATTACGAATCTGAAGTCCCAATATGGCGGGACTTAAAAAGTTCCATATTGGATCTACCATTTAACACGGATAAGTTAAAAACGTACGTACCTACATGGCGTATGAGTAACATTACCATCTCGTCTAAGTAATTCATACGCCATGTACGAGCGTTCGATTTTAACTTTTCCCTCTTAAATGGTACATCGAATATGGATCCGCTGTTTTGAACTTTAAAAATCTGTTACCAGAATTAAGTAAATGTTGAAATTTTGAAAAATCCTGCTCCGAATTGGATCCACCATTTATTTCCACACTTATTTTAAGTGTACAAACATTTTCAGCACTTTCGCGTTTTTTCTTTGTGTTGCGCCAATTTTGGGTATGCGTAGCTCTGCTCCGGTAGACATGGAATGCTCCATATAAGCATTTGCGTTTTGTAGAAATAAAAGTGAAATCATATACAGCTACAGCAAGATGGTCCTAGAAAACATATTTGTACACTGATTACCTAAAATTTGGACTGAATCATAGATAAGACACGGTCTACAACTTTACCTAAATCAACTAGTTCCGAGCAAATCTGTAACTCGTATAATTTAATGCAATGGAGGAATTTACATATTTACGCACGTTTTTCCCAATCAAAGTGCATGCTTCGCACATGCAAATGTCATTCAATTCTAACGAAGTGTTTATTTATTCTAACTATATTCACTTTCGACCCTTTTGGCGAACGTATAAATCCGTATCTAGTAAGCACCTATGTATGTGTGTACGTTCGCCTTGCAATATTTTCTAAACATTTCGATTTGTATGCATCAATGCATCAAAAGTGTTGCAGTGTTGCAAGTATTTGTTAATGTTAATGTGATTTCAGTTAGTGATTTTTTCGATTTTGTATGCAAAGCACTGAACTTTGCATCCGTGATTTTGGTCATGTTGAAAATGTTCAATACATCTAAGTACATAAGGATGGTCCTTAAATGTAGGAACATTTTTCCTAAGCCTCAGACCCTACATCGATGCTACTAGAGTCGAAGATATCACATAAAAATTTTGGAACTAAAATTTATATCGCTAGCTTAGAAAGAAAAGTTGCTAAGTCCCATTTTAAAAATTTTACAGGAGAGGAAAAAATCTTCCTATAGCCATTTTCTTTAACTATTTCGCAAGACTTTGAATCAAACATTTTGCGCGTTTAAAGCAAAGCAAAACTCCATAAGAACCAGAAGGATTCGATATTTATTAAAAGACGTCGTATTATTTTGGCCTTATCGGATTTATGGTGCTTCTTTTGGACTTAGCAAATTTTCCTTT